CGGGGGCGGAGCAGGCGCTATAAGCCATCGTCGACAAGCTGGCGCCCGCGGACCACAAGCAAAAGTGAGGCCCCGTGCAGGGAGGTGGGGTGGAGGGCGGGCACCACGCCATCGTGTAGGCCGCGGCGGGGACGCAGCCGGAGGTGACAGGGTGTGTGTGATGTTACTCTACTTTAACAAATGCGCAGTATACCATCCAGGGGCCTAGATAGAACACACGTTGCTCCCTCTGCTCTCCCTTTTCTGATTTCTCCTAATAAGGTAAACAGACGTTCAGTGTGTGCCCCTAAATTGCCCAGCGCAGGGCGGGGGGACGGGGAGCCGCGCACTGGCGCACGCATGGTGATGGAGGGCCATGTCGCGGAGATGGCACAGGGCTAGAGAGCGCGGAGCGCGCGCACAGAGAGAGGGCGTTGGGGGTGGAGAGCACACAACACACGACACGTACGACTTCGAACCCCGCTTAGTAGTCTTCGTCGAGAGCCGCGCTGACAATGCGGCTTGCAAGGTCATCCTGGCCGGTCAGGAAGGGCCAAAGGACCGCGATTTGGATCCCAAGGTTGATGAGGAAGCAGCAGCCCATGATTTGGCGCGTGTAGCCGCGGGTGCCCGTCCCGAAGGGGACGAAGAAAAACTAAGGAATCGAGGATGCGGGGAAGGTGCGTTGTTATAGGGGGTGAAGTGGTCAGACAACGTGGCCCGCGTGCCTGAAAGACACCGAGCAGGGCAACGCCGAGGGGAAATAGCAGCCAAGCCTGCGCGGACGGGGAGCGAGGGAGGGGGGCTAGACGGCCTCGGACGGAGTGGCGCGGTCCTTAGGTGTCGAGCCCGCGCTGCTGCACGTGCGGCTCCCGGCACACCTCCCAGTACCGCGGAACTACCGCAATGAGAATGATCAGCGCGAACTCGAACACGAACATGACGAGGGCGGCCTGCCGCGGCTTTGCAGCTGCCACCCACGCAGCGTCCGGAGTCACGACGAGGACCCCAATAGATGACTTTGTCTTTGGGGCCATGAAAGTAATGATGTCCAGCCCCTTTTCGTCGATTGACATGACAAAGCTCGAGACGACGCCCAGCAGCAGGACCTGCAGGCAGCGGGGCGAGCGGTGATCTCGCGCGGTCGACGGTGCCGACTCTGGTGGAGGTGTAACAGAGGTGCACGGCCGAGGTGTCGCGTGGCCTTGTCGAAGGCGACTTGGTCGCTGCTCGTAGCGACGGCGGCGGCAGTCACAAAGATCAGAGTCGGCAGCACCGTGGTCACGAGCAGCGTCAGGTGCGCGATCCAAGCTACGATGAGGAGCTTGGGAGGGTGCCCAGAGCACCCGTAGGTGTGTGTAGACGCCCACGCGGTGTGGAGCAGCAAGCGCTGATAGGGGAGTTCCTGCACGCCCTTGAGGTGCGCGAGGGAGACCACCATGAAGGATGGCAGGAGGAGGAGGGACACCACGGTGGCAGCGCACTGTGCAAGGCCCGGCAACGTGTCCCACTTGAAGTCAAACATCGTCTCGATGGCTGACGTCGTGGAGTAGTCGTCAACCTCGTTGAAGAACTCGGTGAAGAGCATCGCGAAAACGAGCAACGACTGGAGCATCACGATCGTGACGGAGAGAAGGACGGGCTGGTTGCACACATGCCCAGTCGAGAGGCTGCCAGAGCGTGCGGTGTGGCGGGGAGTGAGCGGCATCCCGAATGCTGTGCCGTGCGATCTAACGGGTGGTAATGAATGGGCGCAGGCGGCAGGCTGCGCCTGTAGATCATCGCCCAGGTGTGGAGGCTCTTGCACGTGTAGTCGGTCGTACCAGAAGTGTCGACGTCGGGGCCCAAAGTGATTTTCGGCATCGCGGCGAATTGTGGCAATTCCGAGTTCCACACCCAGGTCACCACCTCCGACACGTCGCCGTCCGTTCCGGCGACCAAATGGTGGCAACAGCCACGCTTCTCCCTGGACGCGGGCATCAAGCCGCAGGACGTGCACTCGAGGAGTCGCCCGCGAAGCTTGGGAGTCATCGTCGCGCGGTCCTCGGTGACCTTCTCGTCGTCCTCGGTGACTCCCTGCTCCTCGTCCGCCATCACCAACGGCACGAAGGTCAAGGCCGACACTGATGGTCCGCCGGGGTGCACTGAAAACGCCGAGTTTCGGGGTGTTTCTTTTTTCGCACTTTGGTGCCTTTTTTTTTGAGAGCGCCTTCGTTGTTAATAGTACAAACCCAATGGTCTCTTGCGAGCGGTCCGTCGTTGCAGTCGCACACACTCACACGCCACGCCGCACCGCGCGCCCACCCGCTGCCCCGCCCAGGCGGGACAGAGATGAGGAGATGGGACAGCGAAGGAGGAGCCCAAACACGTATGGGAGGGTTCAGTAATGCGTCACGCTGCCCGGCGTCTCTCACTTTCCGGGACAGCCCCGCCCTTTTGAGGCGGGAAAGTGACGGCTACCCCGTACGCCCTGTAGGCTCAGCACGTCTCGCATCGCAAACCAGAGATTCTCGAGCTCGCAGGCGTCGGCGAGCGTGGGCGTGCGACCGCCGAGCATGTACCCAAGTAGTCGCCGTACCTAGACGCGGAAGGAGGCAAGCACACTTGCTTAGTCCCCAGTCTCGGGGTCCCACCGCCCGTCCTCCCGGGGCTGGCAGCTCCGATTCCCCCCGATTCGCTCTTTTGCTCGTCTGCCTACATACAAGCGAAAATACAAAAGCGGGAAGACTCACAGCTCACACGCTTACGCTTTTTTTCATTTTTTGCCCTACCATGGGCGAGGGAACCCGGGACAGTGCGAGCTGGGGCGAGCCATTCCGAGGTGATCTGCACGGTCGGTCAATGTGTCGTCAACATTCCTTCCCACCCAGCGAGCGGCGGCGAGACCGTGTGTGAGCGGTGCACTTGGAGCACTTGGAGTGCGGTCATCAACCGCACGTCCAGGGCCGGGGAGCTAAGAAGCGCACCCAGCGGGCCGGACGATTGTCATCGGGTTAATTACGGGCTAGAGATCCCTGCCCTTAGGCAGGGAGCACTTGCGGAGGCTTAAAAGCCAAAGCATTTTTTTCCTGCTGCCGCCCTTTGAAGCTGCTCAACCTCAGTCGCCGGTCGGTGCTAGCCTGGTCCTCGCCCTTTCGCCCCTCGCCTCCTCCTCCCTCCCTGCCGCCTCCCCCGCACCACCTCCTCCATGCCCTTCGCCTCCGCCTCCGCCGCCGCCTCGCTCACCGCCGCCACCGCCGCCGCCGTCCCAGGAGCATGAAGCTCGACACGTACGGCGAATACGTCCGCCGGGTCGTGGACACGCTCACAGCCTTTGAGGACGAGCTCATCGCCACCAGCGGCTTCTTCGGGCGAGAGGAGCACCTCGAGTCGTGCATCCAGGGCGTGCAGTCGGAGTTTGAGTCCAACGCGCGCGCCATCGCGGTCTTCGCGGCGCCCGAGGCGCTCTCCGCCCTTGTCGGCACGCTCCTCAGCGCGGAGGACCCCCGACCTGCCGACGCGCCAAAGGAGGGGCGCCGCTTTGAGGACGCCTTTGCCGCCGCCGTGCTGCTCTCCTCCTCCATCGGCACGCGCGGGCTGCTGCGCAATCCGACGGTCCTCTCGCGAATGTGGCAGTTCGTCGAGCGGCCGGAGCGCCACCCCGTGCTGCTCTACTACTGGTGCCGCTGCGCCGCGGCGCTCCTCCTCTCCCCCGAGGGGTCCGGCGGGCTCGGCGCCGCAATCTCGTGAGCGCCTCCCCGGCCGCTTCCCTCCCTCCGCTCCCCCCTCCGCCGATCCAGATCGCGCCCGTCGCCGCCCCGCCCCGATGCCCCGCCCCGATGCCCCGCCCCGATGCCCCGCCCCGATGCCCCGCCCCGATGCCCCGCCCCGATGCCCCGCCCCGTCCCATCCCGACCCGCCTCCCGCCGCGCCGCAGTGCGCTCGGGCTGCCGCGGCTGCTGCTCTCCCTCGTGCCTCACCTGCACTGCGAGGCCGTGAGGATGCTCCTCAAAAACGTCATCGGGCTGGGCGGGCAGGCGGGGCTGGGGGAGGAGGGGGCGGTGCCGCTGCAGCTCGCGCTGGTGGGGGAGCAGTCCATCCTGCCCAGCCTGATGCGCCTGATGGAGGGTGGCGGCGACGCCTCCCTCGACGCCGCGGAGCTTCTCTGCTGCGTGCTCGAGGCGGCGTCGATGCGGGCGGACGGCGCGCGGCTACTCACGCTTGTGGCGCGGCCCTTCCTCCCGCTCTTCACGCGGGCGGTCGCCGCGGGCGACTGCGCCGCGCACCGCCGCCGCCAGTCGCAGATTGCCCTCCTCTCCCTCGGCGCCGCCGCGCTCGCCGCTGAGCAAGCGTGTGGAGACGCAGAGGCGGGGCCAGGCGGAGAGGGCGCGCCCCAGGTTGCTCCGAGGGTGGCTGGGGCGGTGGCGGCGCTGCTCGGCCCGCTCTCGCGGCTGCTGGCGCACGGCTCTTGCGAGGTTGCCCGCGCCGCCGCCCGCTTGTGGTCCTCTTTCCTCGACTCAGCGCCGCAAGAGCTGCTCGGCTGCCGCGGCAGCTGCTCGGCTGCGCTGGTCACGGCCGAGCTCTTCACGCGGGTGGATCGGAACGGGGGCGGGCGGCAGGACATGCTGCGGCACGCCCTCCTCAAGGCGCTCGTCTCCGCGCTGCGCTGCGACGACGCCCGCCTCGGCGCCGCCATCCTGAAGTCGGCAAAGCTGCTGCCGCGGCTCGAGCGCAATTTGCTCATGCGGGAGGGAGCGGGCGGCAAGGCTTCGCGCTGCTCGCCGGAGCACGCGAGGCTGCTCGTGCTCGAGATCGCGGCGATCGGGCGCACCGCCGCGCTCGCGCCGCACCTGGCTCGCTCCGCCGAGTGGCGCCGCATCGGCACCATCGTCGGCGTCGAGCTCGGCGGCGGTGCAGCCGAGGGCGGGCATGCGTGCGAGCCGCGCGAGGCGTCCCCCTCCTCGTCGGGCGACGAGGAGGACTACGCGTCCGCGCCGGAGGCGGAGGCCGAGGTGGGCGAGGCGGGCGGCGACGAGCCGACCGGCGCGGAGAACGTGCCGCCCCACCGGTCGCCCGAGGGGGTCGGTCCCACTTCGCCAGTGAGCCCGAAGCTGGCCGCGGCCGCGCCGCCGCCCGCGCGCGAGGGGGAGGAGGATTTCGTCATCGACAACAACTCGCTCCGCTCCTCGGACGACTTTTCGAAGCTGACTCCGCGGCCGAGCTTCGAGCGCCGCTCCGTCCTCCACCGAAAGGCAAAGGAGAGCTCGCCCTATTACCGCAAGGATGGCGACGGCCGATCCGCCCCAGACGCGCCGGCCCAAGAAGACGCCGCCATCTCCGCGCTCAACGAGACCGTCAAGGCGCTGAGCTTTTGACGGCGTCGCTGGGCGCCAGAGGGACCAGAGGCTGCGTTTGATCAGGGAGGTCGGGCTTGTAGCGGCGACCCCCTTCAAACTCTATCCGCTCTGCACGCGTGTTCGGTGTTGTTGTGTCGCGGCATCGGTCTCCGGACTCCGCTATCTCTCGGGTCATCACACACATCTCACAAGAATCGAGAGAGCCCCTTTTAGGCAAGCTGGAATAGTCAAGAGAACGAGACACGCAAGAGTCAAGAGACCGCGAGATCCGTGGTCGTGAACACCGCACCACACGACACAGCACTAGGATGTATAGGAACAGCACTGAGAGCACACACCGCGCTCCGCGGGGGGGGGGGGGGGGGGGGCCCGGGGACCTTTCCCCTTTCAGTGGAAGGTTGCAAAACGGCCATTCCCCCCCTTCTCACCGGGAACCCCGGGGCTTTTCGGGGGGCGCGCGGCACCGCGTCGAGGCGCGAGGGCCGAGGCTGCGGCGCGTCGTAGGCAGGCCGTAGAGGCTTGCTACCATAGCGCGTGCCCACACCAAATACCGTCAATAATGGTCAAACATGCGACTTTCGGCTAGCCTTTCATTCATACTACTGTGTAGGGAGGGGGAGTTCTCTCTCTCTCTCTCTCTCTCTCTCTCTCTCTCTCTCTCTCTCTCTCTCTCTCTCTCTCTCTCTCTCTCTCTCTCTCTCTCTCTCTCTCTCTCTCTCTCTCTCTCTCTCTCTCTCTCTCTCTCCCTCCTCTCCCCCCCCTCTGCAACCACAAATAAGTACCAAGTGTGGATGGTGCGAGAGCGCCTCGGTCCGGGGCGGTCGTCGACATTGGTCGTGACGCGTCCGTGGGGTGAGCGTCAACCCTGCCCGCGGCGCCGCGGCCAGTGGATCGAGCCAGCCAGAGCCCCAGCGCCGCTGCTCAGCGCGCCAAATGCCTGTTGCGTCGCACCGGCGGCTGCGGACGCCACGCCACCGACATCGAGCCCTCCGCCCTCCTCCTCCTCCTCCACCACCTCACGACCACAGAGCGCTGCTTCGCGCCGCCTCTCGCCCGCAACGAAGCCGCGCTTGATGTCAGCCGAGATCGCCTCCTGGCCGAGGTACATATCCCACATCGCCATGCAGAGCCCGGGCTCCACGAGCGGGTCCACCCGCTGTTCTGCCTCGGGCGGCACGGCGGGCTCGTCCAGCGCAATGGAGAGCACGCCGGCGTGGCACGCCATGAATATCCGATTGCCGGGCTCGAGAGGCTGCCCGAACAGCATTATCGCGTCGTGTAGATGCGAGATGGTTGCGGCGGCGGTCGCGGCGGGCAGGCGCGGCTGAACGGACTCCACCAGCGAGTCTATCATCTGCTGCAGCGAGGCCGAATGCTGCATGTGGATCACCAACGCCTTGGCAGCGGGCGTTGAGATGGTCCCGCGAAGGCCGACCGTTGCGATTGTGTCGCTGAGCTGGCACGCGCCAAAGGCTTCCTCCGATAGATATGCGGCCAGGGTGTACAGGCGGACGAACAGAAAAGTGCGGTCGCCGCCGCCGCAGTACCACAGCGGAGAGTCAGCCATCACAAAGAGCGCTGGGAAACTTGCCCCGTGCAAGTAGACCACTCCGTCTCCGTCGGGCGGATCCGTCGGAAATGATTGCCACCAGAGCACCAGCGCCGAAGCCACGATAAGTAGAAGCCCGAGGGCGAGAGGGGCAAGCCGGGTGCAGCTGTGTTGCTGAGAGCCAATCTCAACCTCCTGGAGCGTGCTGTCCTTCCACGCGGGAGCCCGCATGCCGCCCGATTCTTCGCTGAACGCTGGACTAGGCGGCGGCCGCGCCCTCGGTGGGACCGGCGGGGCGTCGGAGATCAGCGGCAGCGTGTCCATTAACAGCGCGGGACGGACGACGGGGTGTCGGTGAAATGCAGAAAGAAGAAACAAAAATGGCAGGACGGCACGCCGCCACCACACACAGGGATTTCACGGGAAGGAAGGTGTGTTGCTAGCCGTCGCCCACCCTTGGGAGTCTGCCTCTTCCTATCTCCCTTCCCTTCGCAGTCCCTCGCCGATTCTCGCTACAACCTTCATGACCCCTGCTCTAGAGGGATTTTTCACAATATCGCAACCGCGATACCGCGCGATATTTGGCGATAAAAATGCGATGAATGGCGATATTGCGCGATATTGCAGATATTGCGCGATATTAGGCGATACTCGGCGATCATTCACGATATACAGAAAATTCCCTCTAGAGCAGGGGTTTCATGCCACCTCGCGGTCGTCCCACTCTCGTCGTTCTCCCTCCTGTCGGTGAAATGCCTTCCGTCTAGAGGAGAGCTTAAAATTCTTTAGAGCTAGCACGCGCCAGTCCGCACCTCTGTGCTCTGTCGAGCCTGTCTGCTGTGAGAGAGAGTTTGTCCTGTAAAATTCTTTGGAGCGCCTCAAAAACAGTAAACAAGAGCCACATACACTGAACAAGAGCCACATACAACGAAAAATAGTAAACACGAACGCTATCTCAAACCGAGGCCCGGGAACCGGGCGGGGATGGACAGGCGCGCCGCGGGCGGGATAGCCCATCCAGGCATATCTGCCCCGCTCCTCAGCCCCTGCGTCCCTGGTCGGCAAATAAAGGCCGGCGAACGCCGGCGCTGGTGAGACGCCTCTGCAGCCCGTACAGCGCTCAGCGGCCCCTCGTCTATAGCCTCTTAGCCAGTCACCCACATGTGGCGCCCTCCCCCGCGGCTGCCGGCTGCGCGACGCGGAGACCGGCCTCGAGGTGTCGCTGCGCCGGGGCCCCTTTGGGCCGTACGTGCAGCTCGGCGGCAGCGCGGCGGCCGCCGCCGAGAAGACGGCGTTGCCAGACGTGGCGTTGCCAGACGTGGCCAAGCTCAAGGTGGCGCAGCTGCGGTCGGAGCTCGAGGCGTGCGACCAACGCCCTCCTAGACCTTTCCGACCTTTCCTAGACCTTTCCTAGACCTTTCCTAGACCTTTCCTCGAGGCGCGTGACCAGCGCCCTCCTCGGGAGGGGCACGTCCACGACGCGTCCATGGCACGTCCCCCGCAGGCGCGCGGGATGCCATCCTCGGGGCGAAAGGCGGAGCTGGTGCCGCGCCTCCTCGACGCTGCCGAAGCAGTGTCGTCCCCCCTCTCCCCGACGGCGATGGCGGTGTGACCGATCGAGCTACAAGAGGAGCTTGTTCAGCAGGATCCGGGATAGTCAGATGCACTACCTCACTGGGCCTGAGACCACCACACGACCCTCCCATCACCGTCTCGGATTTATGTGGAGTCGAACCACTCCGGGATGGGCAAGCCCATCGGTTAATTGTCAAGATTCCTGTTGTGCAGGAGGGGAGGGGGCTCTGACGGAGTGTGTGACGGGAGAGGGCAGGGAATGGGCGCAGGGGGAAGGGGGGGGGGGGGCTCAGCCGTGCGAAAAGCATCAATTAATAATAGTAAGGAAGACATATTGCCCGGCCGTTCATGAAGTCCGTCTCGATTTTGGTTTTTTCCCCACGGACCACACGGGCAGCTTCTACCTACCGCTACCTACCTGTATGTGTCGCTCGTGCGTGCCGTCATCATCTGTCCAGCGTCCACCCATACCGCGTTGGTGTCCAGTCCGAGCCTGGCTGTTCTTCACCTTTCTACCTAACCTAACCTTCCGGCTGCTCGTGCCGTGGCTCAAGGTTGGCTGCAACGTGCTCCTCTCGGTCGGATGTCGACGTCGTCTACTTGCGAGACCCGTTCCAGTCGTCGCCGCCGCTGCTGCACCGTGACTCAGACGTCGAGGCGACACGTCCTAGACACCTCCTAGACACCTCCTAGACACGGGACTGCGGACTGGACCCTCGCGCACTTGCCACTTCGCACTAACACAGGTACACCAACGGAGAAAGAAAATCCGGCACACGCCTTCGG